AAACTACACCCTGCTAGTATTTGAAACACCAGTGGCATAGTTTCCGGAATCACTATTACACACAAGCCACCACAACACCACAAACAAATAGAGGAGTGATGGTTCTGGACACATTTATTTTTGTTTCTTACTTTTTAAGAGGAAATATGTTTTCCACAGTGGTTGTGTCATTTTTAAATCCCACAAGCCGTAGATAAGGATTCCAGTCTCCTCATGTTCTTGACAGCATTTGGAGTTGCCATTGGTTTTGAATCGTACCATTTTTATAGCAGTGAGACCATATATCATTATAGTTTCAATTTTCATCTTTCTAATTACTACTGATCATTAACATCTTTTCACATGTTTGCTGGCTGCTTGAATGTCCTCTGGTGAAGGGTCTATACACATCCTTTGTCCGTTTTTCAATTAGATTGTCTGCTGGTTGTCAAAGTTTTGTTAATGACATTTTTTATATATTTCAGAAGACCTTTTCCATATATATTACTCCTAGAAATTTTTCCTAGTCTCTAATTCTCTTTTTTTTTTAAAAATTTAGGTTGTTTATTTTTCATTTCAATGAACATCTACAGAGATTTTGGGATTCCATTCATTCATTGTTGCACCCTTCTCCCCGCACAAACCCCTCCCCTCTCCCCCCCATTCTAATTCTCTTTCCACTCTTTGATAAGTGGAAATATTTCGTTTTGATGGAGTCACAGCTATCTAATTTATTTTCTGTTTTTACCGTAGGGTTTTCAAGAGCTGATTTTTTTTCAACAGTAGATCATGGGACCTTGCTTCCAAGGTGTCTCTGAGTAGACTCAAACTTCCAACTTTTCTGCTAGAGATTCAGTGAGGGTCATTTCCTTTAATTTTCAAACTTTTTCTCATTCATTTAATCATTGGAGGTAATTGAAAAGGATTCTCAATGAGCTAAATTATTTCTATTATGTGAACAAAAAAAAATATCACTGTGTTTTAGAAACTTAAAACAGTTAAATTCACACAAACCAAGAGCTATGGAAAGTTTTGGAACTTGTTGCAAAAATCTAAGTATAGACTCACTCATTCACTCACTACTGTTCAGTCATAACCGGCCCACAGTTGAACATTTGGGGTTTGTTTGGGAAGCTGTAAATCATGGGAGAAGACTGCTTGACCTTTAGGTTAACAGAGCAGCTCTCTGCAGACTGTGCTACCAATCAGCAATCAGTGTGTGACTTCAGACACAAATTCTTAGAGTCTCTCATTCCTTTATTGCAAAATAAAGATTTAAAAAAAATAGTACACCAGATGCTCCGCCGCGGAAGGAGGGACAATCTCCTCCTGTACCAGTCAGATCTGATTTGACGGTACACTCACACAAAAATAATAAAATAAAAAAATAAAAAAAATAGTAACACACACATAATAACCCCACAAGAGTACATATGAGAGGCAAAAAGTTGGATTATTGAAGGCAAAGGAGGACTAATGAGCTAAAATAAATAAAAAATGAGATTGGATTGATATACACACAGCATAGTCTATTCACTTAGCTCACTCCCAAAACCCACAGTTATAACGAGGCTGGGAAAGTCATCAACATTGTTTACTGAAGAAACAGCCCCATTGCATGATTGAAAGACTAGCCAGTTGTCTAATCTGTACTATTTAAAACGACCTGAAGGTCTTAGCCAATGTAAAGAGACCAAGGGAACAAAAAGAGAACTAAACAAAACCAAACCCAAGAAGTAAAAATATTATACTATATATAGACTCAAAATTGTAATAATCAGAACTTTAGTCCAGTCTTGGTTAAAGTAAAAAGAAACCACTGGTCATAATGTTATTAATGAAAATTTGGGGAGGAAGTAGATTTTTGTCAGGACAACTTGAGAATTCAATCGTGCTGAGCTGGTTATTACTCCCTAAGCAAGAGAAGGAAGAGAATGTTAGCACTGTTGGAAACTAGCCAGATGTCACCAAAGATTGAATTTATGATTAAATTATACATGTTCTCTTCCTTGTCACCATAATGATAGTTCCTCTCAATGTGTTTGTTGGTATTCAAGGAGCAGGTACTAAAGAGATACTGTGAGATATTCATCTGTAAAAGTACAAAAGGGTTTTGTTTCTACTTAATCTCATAGGAATGTAGCCTTTAACCACAAGGCTTGGAATAACTAAAAAAACTTGTAAAAGTGTATCTATCATGACAAATTTATTTACTCTTTTAGACCACAAAATATGCTTTTCTTAAGGTAGAGAAGTTGAATTTGCTTACTTAATCTGAAAGTGGACTGATGATTTCATGATAACCAATGCACCAATTTATTTTGCCCAGATAGTAGCTGGCTGGAAGAATTGCTGGGAACATCAGAGAAACAGATTTAAAGTGATGGTGATTGTCATGTAAGGTTGTGTAGGAACCAATCCATAGCTGACCCTCCAGCGGATATTCATGCAGTTAATCCATAGCTGACCCTCCAGCGGTTAATCATGCAGGAAGAGATTGCTCATCTTTTTCCCACGGAGCAGCTGGTGGCCTCAAACCACATGCTTTTGGGATTGTAAAGCAGCTTCTTACCACTAGGCCGCTTTGTTGTTGTTGCTGTTGTTAAATGCCGTTGAGTCATAGGCAACTCACTGCAACCCTGTGAACGAAAGACCTGAACACTTGTATAACTTTCATCCACCTTATTCAGTGAGAATTCTAGCCAAAATTAACTGGTTTGCTGACAATACCTCTGTTACCCTCCCAGAGAAGTAGATGTTTCTGGGGACTGATACAGCTGGAGACACTTGGAACTGGCTGCCACAACTTGTACTGTTGCCACCAGAAACAAGAAGCTGCTACTAGCATCTCCACCACTGTTAGTGAAGATTCTTGGCCTCCTCTGTTGATTCCTTAGCTTTCTGTTCAAAATTCAAAACACTGCACTTACTTGAGTGCACTTGGGTCTTGTGCCCAGTCTTAGCTGCAGAGCTGAATGGGAAAGTGAGTATCTGGCTGTTTCAGCTTCTGTATTATATCCTTCACTAAGACATTTAATATTGAGAGTAAGATTCTAAATAACTTTAAATGGTTTCAATATGTAAAAAAAAAAAATCTGATTTTCAGCATCCAATAGCGATGTTAAAAGTCTATTATGTCTGGTTACCCTCAATCATCTTCTGTCTGCACCTGCCTGTGGAAGTGAATACTGTAGGAGAAAACCACCCATCATCCAGATGGGGCCTCGTGGCACAATGGTTAACCAAAAAAGTCAGTGTTTGAATTCCACAGTGGCTTCATTAGGAAAAAAAAAAAAAGATGAGCAGTCTTCTCCCCGAAAGATTCAAAACTCAAGCTCGGCTGCCAGAGTCAGTTCTGACTCATAGAAACCCTCCATGGGGCTTATGAGGCTGTGAATCTCAACAGGAGGCGTCTCACTTCTACAGAGATGCTGGATGCTGGTGAGTTGCAACTCCCGAAGATGCGAAGATGCCCTGCCCGATGCCCTGCCCGGAGCTCCCTCACATAAAGCTTACAGCCTAGAAATCCCTGAGGGGAAAGAGCTAAAATCCGTTCACAAGGATTTAATACCACCATCAAATCTTTCCGTTTGTAACCATAACTTCCAAATATATTTGCAATATTGACAAAAGATTCTAATTTACTTTCCTAGTAAATTTGGGGTTTTCCCCTATTTTTTTTGAGTTCACATTTTATCTCTAAAAAAACTTTACCAGCCTCTCCCCACCCCCATATCAATGATGTCTTTCTTTGCTCAGTGATTTCCAAGAGAAAATATATAAAGCCAGAAAAGGTTGTAAGGTTGTCTGTCTTTTTTTTTTTTTTGGCCAGGCAAGCCTTCCACCTGTTCTCTGGATCACATCCCCTTTTACATACACAAAGGCCCTGCTTCTGCAATCTCTTCTCTTTTGTAATCACTCCTGGATCATTCCTGACATATAAACATGTCAATGCCATTCATCACTAAAAACCAGAACAAAACCCCTCTGAGCTGTGTCCTCTTTCAATTCTTATCTCATGTCTCTATTTTCTAACAAGCCTCACTGTGGATTCTCCTACTTTTACTGACCCTCTTTGCCTCTTTCTCTCTTTCTCCAGGAATTCCAGCTGGGCTCTCTCCTCACTGTTTCATCAAGGTTACCGATGACCTACATTCGGCAAAGTCAACATTGTTTTGCTCTCCTGTTGGCACCTTAACAGCAGCGTTTGACTATGCTGTGCGCTGTGTCCTTTTGAAATATTTCATGAGCTTCTAACAATTCATATTCCCAGGCTCTTTCTTGTCCTTCTCAACTTATTTTGCATCCCCAAGATTGTGTCTTTAGTAGTCTTATCTCCTTTCTCTGAACTCTCTCCCTAACTCATTTCCTACCCCTTGATTGTTCTTTCCATATTGTCATTGCTGGATGCTGTCAGGTCCATTAGGAATCATAGTGACTTCATGTACAACACAACAAACATTGCTTGCTCCTGTGCTACCCTCACAATCGCTGCTATGCGTAAGGCCATTGTTGCAGTCACTGTGTCAATCCATCCCACTCCAGGTCTTCCTCTTCTTTCTGCTGACTTTCTTTACCAAGCATTATGTTCTTCTCCAGGGACTCCTTCTGACAATGTATCCAAACTATGCAAGATGACCCTTTGCCATCCTCTCTTCTAAGGAGTATTCTGGGCATACTTCTTCCAAGACAGGTTTGTCTGTTTTCTGGCAGTGAACGATATCTTAATATTCTTTGCCAACACACTCATTCACATGAATAAATTTTTCTTCCATTTTCCTTCCTTACTGTCCAACTTCTGCATACATATCAGGTGGTTGAAAATACTGTGGTTTGAGTCTGATGCACCTTAGTCTTCAAAGTAGCATCTTTGTTTTCTTCCCCTCTTCCCCTTGTGAGTACCGTCGAATCGGATCCAACTGGCACAGGAAGACATTGTCCCTGCTTCTCCAGGAGTGGAGTATCTGGTGGATTCAAACCATGCACCTTCAGTATTGCAGCACAAACTCTTTGATTTCTACCTCTTTAATGAGGCCTCTTGTGGCAGAATTGTCCAATGCATTGGATTTCTTGACTGTCACTTCCATGGCTCTGATGGTGTAGTCCTTTGAGAGTTGTGCCGCTAACCCAAACACCATGCCTCTCAGACAGTGTACATCAACCAGCTTCTCCAATGGAGAAACATGGGCAGTCTCCTCCAGTGCAATGTGCTGCTCCAGAAACCCACCGAAGGGTCAACTGGGAGCCCCTGTTGACTCCATAGCGATGCCTTTTGACTTGGCTTTCACAGATGTTAATTACATATAGTAAAATGAAATATTTGACAACTTTAATCTTTTCTCCAGTTCTTGGGATGTTCCAATAGGTCCAATTGTGAGGATTCTGTGTTCTTTTTATGTTGAATGATCTGTGTAGAGCTGTGCTGGGATCTGAAAGACCATTCCTCTACGGACAGTTGAACGCACCAGCCACGCTCAGGGAGAAAGATGGACAGTCTCCTCACAAGTGAATTATGCTTAGGTGTCAAGTGGCCTATGACTCATGGTGACCCTATGAAGGACAGATCTGAACCTTACCCTATCCTGCACCATCCTTACAATCTCCAAGATACCCAGTTACAATCACTATGTCAGTCCATCTTGTTGGGGGGCTCTTCCTCTTTCTCGAGCTCTCCACCTTCCCCAGTGTGATGACCTCGCCTATGACTGGTCCCTCTTGACAACATGCTCCAAATATATGAGAGGACGTTTCCTCACCTTTGCCTCTAAGGAGCACTCTGGTTGCACTTTCTCCAAGACAGACTTGTAGTATTCTGGCATTTTATGGGATATTTAAAATTTTTTTCCAACACCACAACTCAAAGGCACCAATTTTTCTTCTATCATCTTTGTTCATTGTCCAACTTTCAGAAACATAGGGAGTAGTACTCAAAAAGACCATGGCTTGGATCGGGTGCACCTTGGTCTTTAAACTGATGTCCTTGATCTTTAGCACTTTAGAGACATCTTTGACAGCCAATTCCCTCAGTGAAACATGCCTTTTGATTTCTTGACTGCTAGTATCATGGAGGTTGATTGTGGATCCAAGTGAAATGAAATTGTTGACAACTTCAATCTTTTTTCATGTATCATGATGTTGCCTATTGGTCAAGTGGTGAGAATTTTTGTTTTCTTAAAGTTGATATGCAATCCATATTGAAGGTCCTATTTTTTTTTCTTCTGCAGCAAGTAGAAGATTCAAGCCCTCCTTCCATTCCACAAGCAAGGTTATATCATCAGAATAAAGTGTCTTATTGATGAGAATTCCTCCTATCCTGATGTCACATTCTTCATCCTAGAGTTTAGCTTCTTCAATGAAGTGACAGCATACATAATGAATAAGTATGGAGAAAGGAAAAAGACCTGACATATACTTTTCTTGATTTTAAACTATACAGTGTTTACTTGTTCTATTTGTGAAAGTTTATTGGCCTAGGTCTAGATTTTGCATAAGCACAATTAAGTGTTCTGGAATGCTTATTCTTCTCAGTGTTAATCATAATTTGTTATGATACACATAGTCAAATACTTTTGCATAATCAATTAAAAAAAAACACACCAGATAACCATCTTTCTTGTATTCTCTGCTTTCAGCCAAGGTCTGACACCAGCAATGATAGTTCTCGTTTTACCACCTTTTCTGAATCCAGCCTGAATTTCTGCCAGTCCTTTGTTGATGTACTGTTCTAGTCATTTTTAAACAATCTTCATCAAGGTTTTATTTGTGTGTGATATTAATGATATTGTTTGATAATTTCCACATTCTGTTGCATCATTTTTGGGAAGGAGGAGAGGAATGAGAACAAATAATAGATATCTTCCAGTCAGTTCACCAGGTAGCTGTCTTCCAAGAACCTTAGCTACAACTGTGTGTTGAAATATATCAATTGGCATTCCATGAATTCCTGCACCTTTATACAAACAGATATGTCTTATAGAGGGTGAAACCAAGTTTTGCTTTGGAGACAAGGATTTTGAAGCTCCATCTCACATACATTGGGCATGTCAGGAGGAACCAGGCCTTAGAGAAAGACATCATGCTTGGAAGAGTGGAGGGACAGCTCAGGAGAGGAAGACCCAGGATGAGATTGATTGGCACAGTAACTGGGGCAATGGGGAGAGGTGTGTCAGTCAGTGAGACTGGCTCAGATAAAGCAGAGTTCAGAGCTATTATACATAGAGTTGCTCTGAGTTGAAGGTGACTTGATAGCATATAACAACAACAACAGTGCTTTCAGAGGCAAGATATTTTTTTAAAGACATGTAGATCTATGGACTAGAACTGAGAGTCAACCCCCCCACATACACATCTATTGTCATGAATTCCATTCTGTATGCTGAAAATACATGCACATAATGATATGATGTGGAAACTATGTAATTATTCCTCATGATCTGATAATCTGATAGTTGTAAAAGAGTTAAGGATTAATACAACACCCCCTAATTCTATCTTAGCCCTGATGGATATAAAGAGAGGCTTGGTTTTGGTTTTTTTGTTGTTGTTTTTTTTAATAGAGCGTTTCCTTGGGGTATAGTCTAGAAATGTGCTATATCACTGGTGATAAAAGGGGAGAATACAAACTGAGATGGGATGCCTTAGAACCACCAAGAAGGGATTTCCAGGAATAGAATGGTGCATCCTTTTAGCTGTGGGTCTCTTTCAAGGACTATTCTTGAAGACTAGTGATAAATAGAAGATCAGACAAGTTCGTGGAATGACATCAAGAATATCCTCCATAAAGAGAGTAAATAAGCAGAGAAGAAAGAAAAGACTAAACTAAATGTCAAAATAGTCTCTGAAAATTGCACTAAAACATCAAGAATTCAAAACAAAAGGAAGAAATGGAGAAGTAACAGTGATGAACAGGAGAGGATGTGGAGAGGTGGGAACTCTCATACACTGTTGGTGTGATTATAAAATGGTACAACTACTCTGTAAGACAGTTTGACGTTTCCTCAAAAAGTTGAACAAAGAAACTCCATATGACCCTACTTAGGAATATATCCCAAGGAAATTAGAACTGAGACACAGAGATTTGTACACCAGTATTCGTAACAGTGTTATTTACCATTGCAAGTACATGGAAACAGCCCAAAATGTCCAACCATAACTGAACTAATTGAGAAATTGTGGTACATTCTATGCAGCAAGTAAGAGTAACGATTTAAAAAATACTGCATAACTTGGAAAAGACTGGAGAGCATTATTCTGAGTGAACTAACTCAATCTCATAAAGACAAATACTGGATATGACCATTATTGTAAAAAGAGAAGGATAATTATTAAAATATGTGTGGGAACTCAAGGAGGGAAGGGGTGGGAGCAGAGGGCTGAGGATGGGCAAGGGCAAAACCACAGGGTTTCTCAGTTGGGTGGGTTTAGGGAGGAGGGGAAGGAAATGGGGAGGATCCAGGTGAAAAGACAGGGTAATTTTATAAAACATAATGCATGAGGCTGATTGTATGAAACACGATGTGGCTGAAGACTAGTGTAAAATAATGTATACAAGCTTTGTAAGCAAATCAATTAAAAAAACGAATATGAGGAAAAAAGAAAGATGAACAGAAGATTTCAAAAGGCAGCTCAAGAAGACAAAGCAAAGTGTTACAATGGATTGTGCAAAGAGCTGCGGTCAGGGAATATAAAGGAAACAACTAGCTCAGAATTTCTCAAATTGAAATAACTGAGAAACAAATTCCTACTGCAAGTTGCAATACTGAGCCAGTCTGTGGGGGGAAAAAATCTTGTATGATTTAGGAAGCATCAAAAGAAGATGGAATGCATTATACACTCACTGTACTGAAAAGAAATAATCCACACTGGAAAAATTCAGGAAGTACTACCATATGATACCATATGGAACAAGAACCAATGGTAATGAAGCTGTGCTGAAGGTACTGGCAAAAAATAAGGCCCCAGGAATCAATGGTCTATCAATAGACATGTTTTAACTAACAGATACAGTCCTGGCTGTGCTCACCAATCTGTGCCAGGAAATTTGGAAGGCAGCAACCTAGACAACTAACTAGACTAGATCCATACTTGCATCAGTTTCCAAAAGAGGTGATCCAACAGAATGTGGAAATTCATGAACAATATCATTAATGTCACAGACCAAAAATATTGCTGAAGATCATCCAAGAAGGCTAGAACAATACATTGAATATTCAGTACAGAGAACTGCCAGAAGTTCAGGCTGGATTTACAATAGGCTGTTCAATGGATATTAGTAAAAATAAGGGAAGACCAGAAGAAAGACCATGTGTGTTTTATTGACTATATTTGTGTTTTGCTGACTATGCAAAGGCATTTGACTATGTAGCTCATAATAAACTATGGATAACATTGAGAAAAATGGGAATCCCAGAACATTTCATTATGCTCGTACAAAACCTACACCTACACCAAGAAGCTGTTGTCTGAACAGAATAGGGAGACATTGTACAGTTTAAAATCAAGAAAGAAGTGCTTCAGGAGTGAATTCTTTCACCATACCTATTTAATTTTTATACTGAGCAAATCGTTCAAGAAGCTGATCTCTGAAAAAGAATGTGGCATCAGGATTAGAAGAGGAGTGAGTCATCAACAACCTGTATTATGCAGATAATACAACCTTGCTTGCTGAAAATAAGGAGGGCTTGAAATGCTTGCTGCAGAAGATCAAAGACCTTCAATATGGATCACATCTTGACATCAAGAAGACAAAAATCCTGCCCTCTTGACCAATAAGCAACATTATGATAGATGGCGGAAATACTGAAATTGTCGACAATTTCTTCTTACTGGGATCTACAAATAATATCCTTGGTACCAGTAGTCAGGAGATCAGGAGACATATTTTAATGGGAAAGTCTGCAGTACCTCTCCAAAGTACTTAGTACAAAATAGTTTCTTTTAGCCTCGTCTTTTTCTGGTTTTGTGATTTTTTAAAAAATATTATTAATTTTAATGAACATTTACAGAGATTTTGGATTTCCATTCATTCATTGTTGCATTTTTCTCCCTGCCTCCCTCTCCCCCCACCCCAGTTTGCCCTTCTCTTTGAAAAGTAAAAGAAAAATTCTTTCATTGGTATACAATCCCCCTGAACCCCCGA